CATACCAAATATGTGAAATTGAAATGTATTGATTTTCTTCTTGTGCAATGGATGGAACTGCACTTCAACTGAAAGCCACCTTAAAATAACAGTGACACTGAAAAGACTTAAATCTTTTTTAATAAAGGGACTCCTACAGTGCATTGCCTGCCATTTACTTCTATAGGTTAGAAACAAAACAAGTCCTGAAGTGAGTCATTACACAGCAATTTGCACAGACAACTACAAAATGCAGTCCTGCCCCCCAAAAGCTAAGGAACTGGCATTCATAGAGCTTTCTGCTATATCAGGTGATCCAAAGTTTGGTTTAAAGGTATAAAAATGTTTTGGTGTTATTCCTGTTGGCCTACCTAAACTAGTTCCAGATGTTACGCATAGTGAAATACCCATATCCATTTTCTCATCTGTTTTTTTCATCCAGAGAGCCAAGAAGCAATTTGTCAAGTTATAAAACCTTTTGATACAAATTTACTTCCAGACTACTGAACAGAGATGACAGGCTTGCAAGCCATAAGTAAGTCAGGAAAAGGGAAGGAAGCTGCTGGAAGACAGAAGAAGTTGGCATACCTTCCCTTTGTTGAAGTAATGGATAATCTTACGGCACAGACCTTCCTTACGTTGCCACTCTGACTGAGATGGATAATGCAGGAACTCTCTCAGAGGTCTGTCCTCCCACTGAAGCAACTCACAGTACAAAAGCAAAGTAAATGCAGCTTCTGTTGGAAATGCAATTATTGAATACTGAATCAATGACAACAAATAAATACAGCCAATAGGTTGAAAAGTCACTAGACCTGCTTCTTAAACAGTCTGGAATTTCTGATTTACAATTTCAGAAAAAATTCTGAAGTCTTAGATAATCATTAAATTATTCAATTACTTAAAATAGCAGTACAAAGCTGTTTCCTATGAACCTGATTCTTAGGTACAAATCTGTCAAGTTTCTTTTTACTAGCTACTTGATCTAAATGCACAGTCAGATATTCAGATATGTAACTAGATTTGGGGCCTGCAGCTGTAAACAGATCTTGGACAACACAGAATTAGAGTCTATACACTTTCTAAGTGCTCCCTAAATATTACAACGCAAAGAAATATGGCAAATGATAATATAATGGTGGTTTTGTGATTTTAATCTTCCTCTAAATTTGATTCCACTGTTGTGATTTTCTTGATCAACCTGCCTCGTAGAACACTTCAATGTAAAATTCGGAGTGTAATGGAATAGTCGTATGGGTTGTGTGGGCACAGACATACATTATTTGACTTGAGGGAATGAGCTGGACCTCAGCTTCTGATCCTCCCAACTGCCATAACTGATTCATACAAATTTTTTCCAAAAGAATGAATCAGATGTTAGAGTATAACATTGGGAGAGTCAAAAACTTTCAAGCAGGATTTCAAGCAGGCCCCATATGACATCTTACTAACCTGTATAGTTCTCAGCCTGTAAGTGCATGTCACACAACTTGTGGATATAGCGGATGTACATCTCTTCCTTATTAATTTCGGATTTATAGAAATTCTGTGGAAGAAAAAAGAGAGTTATTATTCTTATTGAGACTCTTCCTTCAGTCAAGACAATCATCAGCAGCTGTGTATGTATAAAGGTATTGAAAAGAGAATACATTATTAGTATAAGAGAAAAGTAATAATTCTTTTCACATGCACACTGATTTAACCCATTAATTTTATCGTGTCATGATTTTTTTTCAAAATGAAGGTAGTCAAAAGCTGAAAGAAAAGGCAAGAGAGGGATACTCAGAACTCAGCTGAACAAGGCCCTGAGGAACCTGACCTATTTGGCCCTGCTTTAAGCAGAGAGTTGGACCAGAGACCTCCAGAGGATCCTTACAATCCCCGTTGTTATGTTCTGTCATCCCAGTGCTCGGATTCTGAAGCTGCACTTCCCTGACAGATTCCCATCCCAACCTTTCCCATCCCAGTTTCAACAACATTGCACAGTATCACAAAGAGATAACAGAAGCATCTTTACCATAAGGTTAACAGTGCAGCCAATTTTCTTGTTTTCTGTTTCATCTCCTTTCATACAGTCCCTAAGAAAGTAGAGCAATGTTGAAATATACATCTGCAAAACCAGCCCTTTTAAAATAAGTTTGAAGCTATCGTATCCTCCAGAGTTTCCTTGGATCACAAACAACAGTTAATCATATACTTTATTTTTAAAGTTCCTTTAAGAAAAATTTCCATATTATGGCTTAAATGATATGAGAACTGTGTCCTCTTACATGTCTGCACCTGAGAACAAGCACGTGAAATGACTGCTACTTCATTTCTTACAAGAATCTGAACAAAAATTAGATAATGACAAAAGTAATCTCAACGAAAGTTATACTGTAAAAGTGAAAAACTATTATTTATCCAGATGTAAATGTTTAGTGGTTTCCTAGTCAAAGGATAAGCTTTCATAAATTCAGCTATTCAATGTAGTGTTGGCACGCTGAAAGATATAACCTGAGTAACTTAGACTAGGTTACTAACTTTTTCATAGGTAAGTTAAATCACAAAATTTATCTTTAGTTTCTGGAATATTTTAGTTAAAGGCCTCAGAAATTATTAATCTTGACTTGAGAAAGTCACATTCATTTGTGAAAAAGGGACAAAATTTTTAAAGCAGAGACACGGCAAACTGTCTTGAGAACTACTGTCAACTAACTGGCAGCTGGACTCCAAAAGATGCCATTTCCAAATTCCGATGCAGATGGTATTTCCAAATTCCGATGCAGTTTCCTGTTCTGTTCTCTGGGAATGAAAAAATCTGCTATGTATTAAAAATCAATTAAAAACTGTATCTGTTCCTCAATTAAATTTATATCTGTGTATCAAATCGCATTGATAGCAAATTTCACTGGAAAAAAAAAGAGCTCCCTTGCATTCCCTTTAAATGTGTCTCAGATACCTGGTCTTGCATAGTAGTTGTACAGCAGCTGTTGTCAGGAGATTGGATCAAACTGGTAAGGACAACAAAAAGAGCAAACTAAAAAGCACAGAAAAGGATTTGGGATTGCAGAATACCCAGCCTAGTCACAGGTTTTCACCTATAATGAGCAGCAGAAGAAGAAAAAATTATTTGAACTCTTGTCAGTAGGCTAAAGATAGAAATATTTGGGGCAGTTCTATATAGTTTCAAATTGTCTATCATTCCATAAAAACAACTCAAGTGCATGTATGTATATATGTATGTGTGGTTTTATATTTTTTTAT